TGGTTGTAAATGGATTTTTTTTTTTTTTGTTGAATGGAAAAAGAAAGATAAAATAAAATAAAGAAAGTGGAACAACGTGGGTGCGGTCAAAAGGTGAAGATTGACTCAGTTGCTTCAGATGAAAAAGAAAAAGAGGTATGGGTTTGTGCAAAAGTTGACATAGTGGGAGGTTTGGGTAATATATTATAATAAACATATACATATATATATATATATATATATTAAAATAAAAGAAAGTTGAGTGGGGTTGGTGGGTGATAAAAAAAAAAAAAGCTGGGTCTGGTTGTGAGTTCTGTGTGCACTCCTACCACAGATGGATTGGTTGTGATTTGTGTTCTCATTGGACGCACACAGATTGAAGTGAACACTTGCCGATGGATTGGTTGTGATTTGTGTTTTCATTGGACGCACACAGATTGTGCTAGCCGTAATGGACTGATTGGCCCGGGCCCTGGTGTGAAGACGGGTTCAGTTCCAGCAGATATGCTTTTTGGGTGCCGAGCTTGCAATAGGTCGGACATGGTTGTTGAGGTGGTTTGTGGTGGTGGGCTTGTTCGGTGGTGGGGCTTTGTTTTCCAGCTAGAGTTCTCGCCCATGGTGGCAGAGAGACAGAGAGACAGAATGGGATTGATGGTTCCTGAGAAATTGTTGTTGGACAAAGATAGGACTCGGAGGAACTGCAATCGCAAAAGGCTTCTTCCGATATGGCCCGAAAGAGAGAAGCCATGGAGTTGGAGCTCCGAGACCCGATTAGTCCTCGGATCGCATTGGATGCCGACCCAGTTGCAGCGATTGTCGTCGTCTTCGTTCCATGATGTGAGTTTGGAGTGTGGGTCAGTGAGGCCAGCTTTGAAGTGAAGTAGTGGAAGCCGCAAACGGCGCGATAGAAATCCTGCATGGTGACGTCCACGGAAGGAAGGACGAGGTAGATCCCGTGCTTGTGATCGACGGGGAAGGGTTTGGATCGGACGGCGGAGGCGAAGATATTCAGTCCCTTCGGATGGAAGCTGAGTCGGCTGGGGAAGAAGCTGCATCTGCTTTGGAGCAGCTCCACGAGGCTTCGGTGGTGTTCATCGCCATGAGAGAGAGAAGAGACCCTCCTCCCGCAAAGTAATGGTGTGTGTTGGTAGCGGCGGCACAGTGCTTCTGCGGAGGAGGAGCACGACTTGCTGACTGAGGAGCTAGATGAGGTTGATGATTAAACTGATGAGGGTGTTTTACGGTGGCAGATGTGGGGCTTCTGCGGCTGCTGAGTGAAGGTAGGTGTAGAGGTCCGGCGGGCGGCCAAGGCGAGACTGCCGCCCGCCGGTGAAGCAGAATGACTAGGTTGTTAACCTTGCTCTGATACCATGTTAAAATAAATTGATGTATATTATTGATTGATATGTATATATTGATTGATGTGTCTGTATATTACAATTCCTATATATATATAGAGGAGAAGATGGTAGTAGGTGTAGGTGGTAGTGGAGGTGGTAGGTGGAGTGAGTGGTAGTGGAGGTGGTAGGTGGGTGGTAGTTTACATTTTACAATTTACATTTTACATTAACAGTCACAACACAACAACTCATCATCAACCTCGCTAAAATAAAAGTAAATTCCAACAAAATCACAAATACCCAGATATACAAATTCAATAAAATCAAATCACGAACATATGAATCAACCAATTATCTACCTTAGAATCCCTGCCCGAAACCAGTTCAGGGTGGAACACAAGCCCTGGAGCTGGAGGGCACCCATGAGAAGCCATCAAAGAAAGCTTGAAGATTTTTCTAACAGAAACCCAAATCAGAAAACAAGTATCTGGAACCACATCTCTCTTTTCTTGCTTAAGGGTCACAGCATTTTCAACTTATCCAACCACACACCTCAAATTCCAAAGATAATTATTGCGGTTTTGGGGGCTATGATTGAAGCCCCCAAAAAAAACAAAAAACGAATTTGGGGAATTCCAGAAAATGGGTTTTATGTGGTCCGATTGATTTCACAAGAAAGATAACAATTTAACAAGTGGGTTTTGGAATTTGTGGCCTTGAGAATCCAGATGGGTTATGCTTTAACATTTGATTCAGAAGTATATTTTTTTGAGATCAATAATGGGGCAGATTTGGGAAAAGAACTTACCAATATATATATATATTGTTATTTTCCTTAGGTTCAATGCAACAAAAATGCCGGAATTTATCAGAGGGAAGAAAGTAGTTTTTGTGGGTGATTCAATGAACGGAACTCAATGGAATCAATGCTATGTTTGTTAATGGGTCATGACCAACATATCATAGATGGAGTATGGAAAAGAAGCTTGGGGCTGGGTCGATTATTAAACTCCAATCGATTCAGCAAGGTCTGTTCATCATCACCAAACGACAATACTTCGATTACAACAAGGAATTTTTATTGATAAATCTTATTTAGAAGTGTTCTAATCCAAGTCCATGAAGAAATTTTTTAACCCACTTAGTCCCATGTATTTATAGTTTTATTCCATAAAGTCTTTTTTCTTGATTTACACTCTTTTCTTAGACTCTTATACTCTTATATTTAATATTGATATTTAATGTTGGGGGAGGAGAGAGAAGGAAAATAACCAAGGCATAAGAAATTTCATACACAAATTAAATAACATTGATGTTATTATTTTATATTATTATATAATGTGAATATATTTTTAATTAACAACATATTAAAAATAATGTAAACATTCTCTCTCATCTGATGTGAATATTCACATTCATGTCATCACGTATAGTCATGTTTGTATTCAAATAAAAGTTGAGGCTTGTGGTTGTGTAATTTGATGCAATGCTGATATGAACCTTAACATCACCTTTATCACACGTCATCTGATGTGAACATTCACATTCATGTCATCTAATGTGGACATTCACGCCATCATGTACAGTCAATATTTGGATACATGGGAACTACTAAAACATAATGATAATCATTAAAGAACCATGTTTAATTTTTTATGTGTAATATATATCAACATTAAATAGTGGTGTATAGTTAATGCATTTTTTTAGAGTGAAGATATGGGGAATAGGAATGATTATGGGTACTACCAAAACATAATGACAATCAACATTAATGGGGGCAGCAGATTGAGGGTGTTTTGGTCTTCTTACCTTAAATAGGACATAATGAAATAGTTAAAAAGAATATAAGTTGAATGGAATAAAACTCTTAGAAAGGAAACTTATCAAAAAAACTCCCTTACAACAACAACATTGAAATTTATCATTGCAAACTATTTGCACATTTACTTTAAGAGAGGAAATTATTAAAATTACATAACTTCATTAATAGATTATACATAAGCAACAATTAATTATATACTAAGATATCCTTCAAATAACTATTATTGCAGTCACATGGTCCATTCTAGAATTGCTAATCCTTGATCTCTAACAGAAAATGATGCTGGTATATTATTAATGAACTTCTATAGATGACATCCATTAGTATGTAGTTTTTTTTTTTTTTTTTTAAATAATTTTTTTTTTTGAACTAGAAGCATTAGTACGTAGTTCGACATGAAGGGATTGATATATCAGTAATGCCTTCAAGCATCATAACTACACTTTTCATGGAAGGACGAAGAGTTGGTTCATCTTGAATGCACCAGAGTCCCACTTTAACCATGTTCTCTAGTGTCTTCATGTGAACTTCTTCATCACCCACAACAGTAAACTTGTTCAACTCCCTCCCAACAAAGCACCTATAGACCCAATTAGAGAGAACCACCTCTTTTGGAGTTGATACATTAACTTCCAAGTTTTTTCTGCAACAAACAATTTCCAACAACACTATCCCATAACTGTAAACATTAGCTTTGACCGATATGGGGTTGTTTCTCTACCATTCTTGAGCCAAGTATCCCGTAGTCCCCCTAACTCCAGTAAAGGTCCTCATTTGATCAGGCATCAACAACTTGGACAACCCAAAGTCGGAGGTTTTTGCATTCCAAAACTCATCGATCAATATGTTTTGAGGCTTTATATCGCAATGAATTATAGGAGTCTCACACTCTTCATATAGATAGAGGATCCCTCTCGCAACATTTAGGGCAATTCCAATTCTCTCTTTCCAATCTGGGCGCCTTGTAGATTTGAAAAGAAGTTCTGCAAGAGAGCCATTGCTCATGTACTCGTAAACCAAAAGCCTTTTAGAACCCTCAATACAGTATCCAAGCAACGGGACCAAGTTTCTATGGTGCCTTCTTCCGATTACGCGCATCTCTGCCTGAAACTCTCTTTCACCTTCTTCCACAACCTTCTCAAGTCTCTTCATTGCAATCAACATCTTTCCTTTGTACAAAGTGCCTTTGTAAACTGCTCCGAATGACCCCTTTCCCAGCTCTTCTTTGAACCCATTGGTTGCTTTTTTTAGCTCACTATATGAAAACAATTGCATGGTGAGCTTCTCTGTAATGCAGGAGTTTCCATATTGCAACAACCTCACTACAACAATTTACACTTTTGGCGACTATACTTTTTTTAGTCACCAAAAGTTGTAGAATAGGCGACTAAAAATTACATTGGTCGCCGTTCAATATGGTTTTTAGCTACTAATTTTTTTTAGTAGCAATATCTTAATTATTGGCGACTAAAAAAAATTAGTCGCTAAATATGCCACAATAGGCGACTAATAATTGTTTTAGTCGGCATTAGATCATGTTTTAGGCTACTAAAATTTTTGTTAGTCGTGGTATACCACTTTTTGGCTATTAAAATAAATTTAGTTGCCAAAAAGTTAGCATAATGTTTGCTATTAAACTTTGGCGACCAAAGTTTTGGTCGGCAAATATTTATTTTCGGTGACTAAAAAATTTTTAGTCGCTATAAGGTAATTTTTGCCTGCTAAAATAATTTAGTCATTAATAAAAAGTATAAATTTTTGCTTTTATATTTGGTGACGAAAATTTTGGTCGGTGAATATTTCTTTTCGGTGACCAAAATATGTTTAGTTGCCAAAATGGCTACTTTTGACAACTAAAATATTAGTCGTTGTTAGTTAAATGTTTGGCCACTAAATAAATTAGTCGTTATAAATTAACTTTTGGTGACAAACAACAAGTTTAGTCGCCAAAGGTATATAAATTTTAGAGGGAAACATCAAAAGATGGCGTCCAGTTTTTTTCAGTATTTTTTAAAACAGGGGTTCTTTCATTCTCTCTCTCTCTCTCTCTCTCTCACACACACACACACACACACACACACACACAAACACACACAGAACAAGTCACCACCAAACCTCACCTCACTACAGTCGCTCACCGTAAGTCACCACCACCACCATTGCAAATCACACTGCCACTGCCGCAATACAAACAGGTAAGTTCTCTTTGTTGGAAAAATTGGTTTTATAAGGCTTATTTTGGGCCATCTTGAGCCCAAAATTGAGTGGGCCCCAAACGTCTTTTGGGGCGAGTCCGAAGAGGTGACATGTTCCTTGCCGCATGGTAAGTCACACAGTGAAGACGGTTCGTCAAAACCATTTATGAGTTAATGGGAAGTTGACGTCGTTTTCCGGTTCGTGGAATGGACAATTAAAGAAGTAAATGTGGGTTTCCTTGAAATGGATTGTCCCACATTTAAACTTTAAAAGAGCTTTTGTGTGTATATAAGCACTAGATTACAACACTTGGGTTGGGCCCCAAGGGGCAACCCAAGTTTGTAGAAGGGAGGAGTTATAGACAAATGGAACCTTGGCCCAAACCACCACACACGAGCTTGCGTGCCGCCGCCGCCGCGGACCGGCTGGCTGTGCCGGGCACGGTGGTGGGTCGAGTCGGTTTTAATATTAATTTTTTAGACAAAATTTATTTGAATTTTTTCTAATTTTCTTGCGGAAAAAATTAATTTAAATTTTGTAATTTGAATTTGAAATTCAAAATATTGTCCAACAATTGTGTCTCTTCCTTTTATTCCATAACAAATTATAACAAAATTTTGCACCCGGACAGATTCAAATTGCTGGGCAGTTATCTGTCCATAACTGCCAGCAAATCTATTGCAGTTTGAAACCGTATCTGTTCATTTCAAAAGTGCACCTGTTCAGGTTGATTTCATACCTATTCGGGCAGTTTGTGTTGCCTATAAATTCATATCATTCCAACAGTGTTGAGGCATCCGAAAATCAGTCTGAAATTTATATGTTTGTTGTCCAATTTTTTCCTTTGCATTATTTATTCTTCATTCTAGTTTTAGAGAAAATTAAGGAGAGTATAGAACACAAGGTTCTAGTTTGCTGGACAAATTTTTTTGGAGTGCTACTACAAATTTGTGAAGATCATTGTATCTTGGGAGATAGACGCCACAAAACCGTAAACACTGTAGCGGGGCGAATCTGTCTTAAGAACAGAGTGTCACATACTCGACTTGGTCTTTAAATATTCATTCGGTTTGGTAAAATAAATTCGGTACGTTCTTTATTTTATTTGTTTGATTTTGTTTCAATTTATTTATTGTACACAAAAGATTGTTTCAACACTCTCTCTCTCTCTCCCCTTTTCTCTATTTCCCTATTTCTCACTCTTGCTCTAGGGTTTATATGATTATTTAGTTTACTTTCCTGTTTAGCTTGTTTTTTGTTTAATTTCTTCAAATTGCAATAAATTTGGAGTTGCATTGGTAGATTGTCTAGCTAATTTTGCAGTTGTCTTTGTTTTTGTTGGGGGAAAAATTTGGGTACAGTGAGGCATTTGATTTTATCAAGGAAAAATTTGGGGTCCCTATGGTTGTGTGTCCTGCTTTGGGGGGTTTAGGAGCTAGCTCTCTCTTTGATCGCCAGTGTTGTGGCCATATCATCGTTATCATCGCCATCTCTCATTTCTCTCGCTGGTTAGAAGTAAGAACCCTCTTTCTCTGTATCTCAATCTCTATATATCTATATACCTACCTGTTACAGAAACAACATTTCCACAAATGGGGTTAAGGCTAGGTACATCTTGCCCTCTTCTCTATTGCGATTATTATTATTATTTAGGAACAAAATTCAATTTTTGAGGAGTAATTGTGATTTAAAACACAAGTGTCATTGTTTTAAAATGTCACTAACAAAATTGCTTTACTTGATGCTATGTATATATATATATATTGTAACAATTAGATTCTTTTACATTTACCTTTTAATCTCAGGTATTTCTTGCATTTCTGATGTTGTAGAAATTCAAGTTTTCATTTTTTTTCCTCTTAGCATTTTTATTAGTGTACTTTCATTTTCACTCCTGATAAAGTATGCTCAAGGTATTTTCTTATTGCAGAGTATTAAGGTGTCCTTTACACTGATGCTTAGTCAACTTGACAATGCTATCAAGAAACATAAGTGAGTGTTATTTGCATCACCCTAAATTATTATTCTCTCTCTCTCTCTCTCTCTCTCTCTCTCTCTCTCTCTCTTTCTCTGTGTGTGTGTGTGTGTGTGTGTGTGTGTGTGTGTGTGGTTATTTTAGTCGTTCTAGAGTGATACAAAAAAAAAATGAGATGAAAGGAAATGGAAAATGTTAAGTTTCCAGTTTTAAGGTGCGAATGACATCATACAAAAATTATGTAACCATTAGCTCTGAAAACTCATTTGAACATTCCTGTACAATAAAAGGCAGGACACAAGTATATATTCTGTAGATAATCATAATTCAAGAAACTTTGAACATCAATCAAGTAACTTTTCAAAACGGATTTTTATATAAAGGCCAATTATTTTTTTAATGTGTCGTAGTTATTATAAAATTTGCAATGGCAAAAACCTTCTTTTGTAGTGGAGGCTTACTATTATAGAGCCTCTATTTCAAATGGAGACTTTCAAAGCCTCCATTCCAACTCTAGGCTTATAATTGAATTTTCTACTTTATCACCTATTTCCTGTAAGGTGTGTGACTTGGGAAGAAATGGGTCTAGATTGTGAAATAGGTTGGGGTCAAGACAACTCTAGTAAAATTTTCAAAATGAACAACATTTTAATAATGTTTTTGGTAAGATTAACGTATATCTTTATTCTCCTCCAAGTATTATTTCACCTTGCCTTTTTTTGTGCTAAATATTTAAATGCTCTCTATAAGAAGCAAATTCTCTGCACCTATGGCTTCTCACATTAATGATGTTGCTTTATAAATTTACTTATTTTGGCACTTTTGTATCTAAAAGAATGATAGTCAATGTCTTGTTCGGGTCCTTCCCCCTTACCATATCAGCAGACTGGTTCCAATTACAGTTCACTGAACTCAATGTCTGCTAGAAATGAAAGTCAAAAGCAGTTTGGATCATATGACAATAAACAAACTCATGTCAGGGCTCAAAAGGCTGCACGTATGCCTTCTGGGGCCACTGTTGGTGCTACTATTGTTAAAGCAGAGACTAGTCTTGAGATGGATGTGTGTTTTCCTGCTTTGGGAGATGCATCTTAATCTAACTCTTAGATTGCCATTCTTTAGGATTAATTTTCTATTGGCTAACTTTTGACTGGATATAAATTTTGTTATCTGGGATTGAAGGGTGTATTTGTCATAAAATCTTTCATTGTTTACTTGTTAAAAAATAACAGAATTTTGTCACTTATGTCATCATCATCAACCATTGTCAGTTCATCATATTAGTTACTGAATTTCAAGTTAAATTGCTGCTTAATGGGTTTTGTTTTCTCTTTATTGGTTATCAATATGACCTGGATTTCTTCAATATTGTTGTTGTTCCAGATTTTAACATTTAAGTCTCAACATATTCAATGCTTCTCACGTATGTCATTTTCCTTAATATTTGATGTGTTTTGTGATTTTTGTTGGAAATGGTTATAAAATTCTGGATAAAACCAGAATTTTTTCCTAAGTTCGGTCTATTTTTTAGGTGGGCCCCGAGTGTCGATTTACTCGGGTCAAAGTGGTAACGCGTTCTATGCCGCGTTGTGATTCACGTGGTATATTTGGTTGCTCAAAACCATTACCGAGTGAATGGAAAATTGAAGCCAAAGTGTGCTCCATGAAAATGGAGTTTTGGTGGAAATTCCTTAAGGTTGTAAATTGGCTTGTCCCACATCACAAAAGTGAAAAATAAAAAGAGACAAAGAATTACACCAATCTCCATGAAATTTGGAGATTGTATAAATAACTTCACAATTTTAACTAATTACATTAACATTTTTTTTAGTTAGATTAAATGGGATAGAGACTAATGCAAATAAATAGTATGAACAAACGTGAATAAATAATATATGTAAAGAACTCTTTTATAATAAAAAGTTGGTTTTTAATATGATATGCTCTCTTTCTCATTGAACTATAATCAAAAGTATACAAGTCTGACTTTACAATAATTAGAGTTACAATATCATAATTTAAGAAGTCTGAGAGTTTCAAGAACACAAAATACCTTAATGGCTCACAAACAACAAGGCAAGAGCCTTGGTACACAAAAATGGACTCTCGGTCCCAAAACAGGTAAGCTCGGAGTTTCACAGAATTCACATCCATGAGCCTTCATGCTCTATACACAAAATCCACCTCTTGCTTATTGAAGTGGAGGCACATTACTAAGTCCTGAAATGTTAGATAATGATATGCCTAGTAGAGATACATTTAACAGAGCATCTAAATACTTGAATATCCATATGACATTAGCTTAACAAAAAAAATTGCAATTAATGTTTTTGAACGAAAAGGAAATAAATGCACTGTTGTTCAAACTTAATTATTTCCTCAACACTGAGGAGGTAAATACACTGTGAAATCCCTTGTAGGCGTCCCAATAATAAATATACATAAATTCATAACAAAAAATGTCCCCACATTTGTCAACTATTAATACAGTAAGGCGATGGGCACCCAAAATCAACCTTTTTTCACTTTTACTGGCTATTAATATGGCAAGACCAATGGATGCCCAAAAACATTTTCCCACATTCATCCGTAGATAAGCTCAAGAAAGGGCAATTGGGCACGTTGACTCCCTATGTAGGTACTAATACAAAACACACCTCGTTTCCAAAACCCAACTCAACTACTCAGACTTATACGCTATTCACCCCCTTTCAACATTTCCAAGTTTCCAAAAGATTTTAGAGTTCATGAGATAAAATTTGTAATGCACGTGATGCATGAATTTGCAATTCCCAATTTAATTGTAGTTTATCCAATTCATAAGTAAGAGAGGACAACAACAATAAACAAGGAATTTTCATCATTTCTCATTTCTATAACTCCACATTTCTCCAATTCAATACATGTTTCCAACATAATCTAAATTTCATGTCTCAACACATTTATATCAATCATTTACCGAATTTCAAGAATTAAGGGCCAATTGAACAATCCATCATTTTTAAATCAATTTTAAAAATTAAGGTTTTGGAAGATTTGGGGCTTTTCCTTTTTTTTTTTTTTTTTTGCTTTTTTTTTTTTTTTTTTTTTTTTTTTTTTTTTTTTTTTTTTTGCAGAGTGACATGTCGAGATTGGTTTCAGCTTAGTCTTAAAGAAGGTCTTACTGTATTCCGTGATCAGGTCTGGACACATTATTAATTACCAAGTGACCATTGAAACACTGAAAATATTTGTTGGTTGATTGAGCTTGCAAGTCTCTAATGCATTCATTTGGCAGGAATTTTCATTTGAACCGGGGAGTTGTACAGTAAAGCGGATTGTTGATGTTTCAAGGCTTCGAAATTATCAATCTTGTTTCAAGGCTTCGAAAATAGTTGTACAGTAAAGCTGGTTGTTTCAAGTTATTTTATTTTACACAGAAGATTGTTCCAACAACAACTGTCTTGCAGTGATTAAACCAAATTCCGACCTTAAAGTCGATATCTTGTGTGTAGAAACCAAATGCAAATAGGCCAGAGGGAGAGGACCATGATGTGGGAGTATTTGTGCAAGAAAGTGAAGAGCCTAAACTAATTACTATCTTGCTTGAATGATTTTGTTGGGATTCCACAGTTACACACACTAGGAATATGAATATTGAGAAAATAGAAAATCTCGAACCCATGAGAGGACTTAAAGGAAAAAAGGAGCTCTTCATAAGTTTGTTGTTAATAAACAAATTTAGGTGACGGGTTAGAAGATATTGAGAAAAATACAACAGGAGGACAACAATGAAAATACTCGCGTGATGAAGAATATAATAAATAAAAAAAACGTAAATGAAGATGTTGAAATTGCATAACAAAAAGGTAACAAGGAAAATATTCATCTTGATAATCATATATTTGATATTACCTAAGTAGTCGAAGTAAGATTTTTTGGATCAATCATATATCAATTGAAAATGAAGTATTTGAAGAAATTTCTAGTATTATTAGTCTTCAGTACTAGTCAAGTTCTCGACCTTGAAATCCTCAGTCCTGTCCATTCACTACAAGAAATTTCACTTTTGGCGACTAAATTTTTGGTCGCCAAAAGTTATATTTTAGTCGCCGAAACATTTTCCCGACTAAATATTTTGGTCGCCGGATTTGTCATGGGATGATTGTCGGAGAAGATATTGGCGACTAAAAAATATTTAGTCGCCGAAAATCCTAAAATGGCAACTAATTTTTAGTCACCAAAAGTGAAGGTATTGGCGACAAAAAAAAAATATTTAGTCGTTGATAGGCTAAATATTGTTGTCGCCAAAACTTTAATGATCTAGGGTGACGAAAGTTTTAGTCGCCGATTTTCTTTCTTTTTTTTTTTTTCATCTAACTTTTGGAATAGAAATTTCCTTACCAAGTTGGATGCTCATAAATTTCTCATTTCTTTGCTGTCGTTTCTTTGAAATTTCTTTGTGAGCCTCACTGTCTGTGTCCAAGCATTGTTGAAAAACTCTTCTTCTTCTCAACCTTATGTGACAGTATAGTAGAAATTCCTTCATCAAGCTGGACCCACCTAACCTAGGTGCAAAAATTTCACCATTGACTGACTTGAGCATTCGCTTAAGCATGAAAGCCTTCAGTATCACCTCACCATCAAGAGAAAATTCGCTCAATATCGTGTTGTTACACATTTTTATGACAATTGTTGCGTATTCTTTTGGTAGAATTATGACAATTTGAGATTCAGAAATGAAAAATGCATAACATTACCATAAACATTTGTGGTTCATAAATGTCTCAATGAAAAAATGCATAATATTATCACAAAAATACGCAATTTCAATTTTGAACCGTATATTATTGTTATTCTATGAAAAGATTACATAACATTTGTCATAAAAATGCGTAACAAAGTCTACAATTCAAAACCCTAATATATACATATATATACTAGTGAAAACGCATGCTATGCACGGGGCATGAAAAAATTAATAAATTATGTTTATATAAAATAATATAAATAGTTAGATTTTTTATGTAAATTATGAAAACAAAAAATTATTGAAATCTATAATTTAAGTTTAACAATTTATGTATCAATTTTTAATTTGTCACAACTTCAATCATGTAACTTTCAATCCCCTTGCTAAAGTTATAAATTTAGGCGAGTTGAACCCAAGCAACTTGAGTCAAGCCTATAAATTTTTAAGGATCGGATAACATAATTTTTAATTCGGTAAGAACCTATGTAAAATTCAAAAATTCGATTAAATTTGAATGGACTTAGGCAGAGACACCAAACAAAATTGTATACATAAAACTATTTACTAATTTATTTTTTTAATAATAAATAAGATTAATTAAAAATTTAATATTAATGAACAAAAGCAAATACACTTTTTAGAAAGGAACATCCAATAAGTTGATATTTAAAAAATTATATTTTATAATGGCATAAATTAATTTATTTATGATTGTTCAAAAATTATTTTTAATTTAAAAATTACAATAAAATATTTAAATATAATAAAATTAAATTTCTTACAAAATAAAAGTATCTAGATAAAAAAAAAATTTTAAATTTTAAAAAGGTAAGAAGGAAATTTATAATGGTATTCTCATTTGATATGAAAATAATTCTAAGGCACCGTTTGGGAAGAGCTAGATTGGGTTTTTTTGGCTATTTTAGCTACAAAAGACAAAATAGGCTATTTTAGTCACAAAAACAAAACATCACATTCAACCCATAATCATTACACTCTTTTCTCACAAAAAAAGTCAAAAAGCCCTTCCCAAACCAAGCTTTTCAGCCCAGGCTAAAATAGCCAAAAAAACCAAAAAGCCAAAAAGCCAACCCACTTCTAAATGACTAATAAAAATTATCTAGTAAACTAATAATAGGTCATAATAGTTGGACTTAATTCCTATCAAGTCTTATTGAAAATAAGTCTTAGTACAATCGTCACTAAAAATAATTTTTTGTGACAGTTTTTTACATTTGTCGTTAAAAATTGACAATTAGTAACTCTTTTTTGTTACGATTTTTATAAATTGTCGTTAAACTTACAATTAGTGATGTTTTTCTGTGACAAATTTTTCAAACTGTCGTTGGAAATTAAAAATTAGTGACTTTTTTGTGATGATTTTTTTAAATTGTCTCCAAAACTTAAAATTAGTGACATTTTTTGTAACAAAATTTTCAAACCATGACTGAAAATTAACAATTAGTGACGTTTTTTAATAGCGTATGATGAAAAATGCCATTAATTAGGACAATAAGTCAACTTAGTAGGACCTACATGTAAGTCCCCCTAAATTATCACCAATAACCCGCATTTTTTTTTAAATAAAAAAAGATATTTCACAAACCATTCCTTTTATTATAAAAATAACATTTATTTATATTTGTTTTAGCAAAAGTCCCTTTTTAGTAATTTGAGCCAACAAATTTTCATTTTTTTTTATTTTAGTTTGTTTAATTGACAATTGAGATTAAAAAAAAATTAATAGGATCCACCATATTTTGCAAGGAGCAATGGGGACCCCCAGTGGGGGGCGACCCCCAGCACCCCCAGTGACAGTTGGCACACTGTCACTGGCCCAAAACCAAAGAAAAAAAAAAAAAAAAAAAAAAACAGTTTTTGAGCCAATCAGAGATGACCCCCAGCACCCCTACTGGGGGTCCAACTCATTTTCCATTTTGCAAGTGCTAAAAAAGTCTAGATAAATGATAAGAAAAATGTTTAAGACCCACAAAAAAGCACCCACAATTGTACCTACAATGATGTAGTATCATATATCTTACCTCTTAATTTGCTATACAATCAATGACATGGGGCCCAACTTTCTTGCCACATCATTATGGGTGAAAGTGTGAGTCTGTAGCACTGCTGAAATAATAAATTATCGCGTGTAACTCCCATTTTCTTTTTTTATTATATAAGTTTCTCCAATTAGAACTTTTAATAGAAAAAAAAAATGTTTATTTCTATTTGATTTTAGCAAAAGTCACTTCTTAACTATTTAAGCCAAAAAAATTTATTTCTTATTTTAATCTGTTTAGTTGACAATTGAGATTAAAAAAAAATTAATAGAATCCATTATATTTGACAATTGTTTAAAAAGTCATTCATTTTCTTAATGTTTTGTCTTTTGTTAAAAAAAATATTTGTATTAAAAAAATTTATTGTTTAAGTCCTTATAGTTTAGAATGATATAAAAAATAATAAAAAAAAAAGAATAAAATTTAAAACCAAAAATGAAAAAAAAATAAAAATATAAACTTTTAATAGCGATTAATAATTTGAATACGTGTATTTAATAACATATTACGTTTAGACCAATAATATTATGATACATCATTATAACACATGTGAATATTGATCTCATTCTAATTGTAGTAACATAATTAAAAAAACGAATTTAAATAATAAAAGATGCATAAATTAAGGAATGAATATTGATCTTATTCTGGTAACATAATTTAAGGAAGAATCTAAATTTAAAATTTTATTTTAAGAATATAAAATTAATTTATACACCAATCATATTGTGACACATATTAACGAAAATTAAACAAAATAAAAAAAATTAAAAAAAAAAAAGAATTGCAACTTTCAACTTTAATAAGATGACAATGTTTTGCATTTATAATAGTATATAGATTCTGGATGAGATTTTGAAACTCTCATGATATCTCTTTTTAAAAGCATTCTTTTTAAAAATATATAAATATAAATAATCTCAACGCCACTCTTATTGCTTCTTAATACAAAATTATAGGTTAATTATGATAATTTTAAATTTTTTTTTAAAACTTATAAATCATAGGATAGATCATTATAATCATAAATTTATATTATGCCAATTTTAAATTTATATTAATAGATTGTTTCCATATTTAGTGACACTCAAATCTGAATTTTAAAATGGATTAGTATATTTTTATTTTTATAAATTTGATATACTTTCCATTTAAAAATCATAAATCAAGGGATTTTTTTTTATTTCTTTTTTTCCTCAAATAAGAGCTAGCCAATAGAAGATTTTTTTAATTTTTAAAAATAAAAAAATTATGAAATTTAGAAACTTGTAATTTTTAGAGGTCTTATGGGTTAAAAATCTCTTTTTATTTATATAATATATAGATAAATAGACTACAAAATTTTATCAAAATAGGAAACTGAATCATAATCTAAACTCCTAATGAATAACTCAATTAACATAGGACACTAAATCTTAATAGAATAGAAAAGCTAATATTAATAAAAATCCTAACTAAAATAAGACTCTAATTAAATTATAATTTAAAACAAATAATAAATACAAAATCTCCAGGTGGTGTGTCTACTGAAGGGTTCCTGCATAGTTTTAACTTGAGTAATGTTATACATAAAAAAATTTCGCACGATTTCTTTATCACTAGAGACAAAGAAAATAGGATCTACATTAATAAATAAATGTGTGACCCATGTTTTTGTGTCTAGTGGAGAAAATCGAGTATTTCCTTTTAATTTAACAAAAATATTTTTTATGATAATTAGAGTAAAAATTCTTGGTCAAGGATACTCACGCTAGTTTGGCAAATTTCTTTTTTTTTTTTAATTTTTTTAAAAAATAAAGTTTAAAAAATTGTTGTATTTGACAATTGCTAAAAGAGTTATGTCATTGAGAAAGTGTAGGTGGAGTTTGATTTTTTTCTTTAATAATAATAATAATTATTATTATTATTATTTAATCATTTTTTATGTGCATAGACTAGAATGTGTAAAGTAACTTTTTTAATAAATTTTACTAAAGAGAAAAAAAAAAATTGTGATTTTTTAGCATTTGCCAAACAAGAAGATGCTACTATATACATACCTCTAAAAGAGTGCATGTGTATGTATACATTTTATAACATCACCACAAAATTTTATAACATAAACCATAAAATAGCATAATTTTTTTCACCACAAAATGTATTACTTTCATTTTAAAGTGCACATCTTAAGTTCGTCATATGTAAATTTATCACAAATTGACATTGTGGGTGTTTAGGAAGTAGATTTTTTTGTAAGTTTTTTTAATTGTAGGATATTATTGGAGAAATTTTTTTTTGTGTTTAGAAAGATAGTTAGGTTTTTTTGTGGTTGGATGTGATGTTTGTGAGAGAAAAAGTGAAATGATTATGAGGTTTAATGTGATATTTTGTTTGGATTTATTTTTTTTTATTTTGTAAAATATTTGACTTGTAGTGAAAAAAAAAAAACAAAAAAAAAAAACCCAAAAACCAAATTCCCAAACACTACCATTAACATGTTACAAACGTTTGCAACCTTCACAAAAATCATAACTTTTTGACTATTTGCCTTTTTAGAAATGCATATTTATTTATTTATTTATTTTATTTTTTATATATAAGCCGCGTAACAAACCCGATAGAAATTTCGTCATCAAGATGGAAACAATTATCTATTTTCTTGAAATTTCATATTGGGTAAGCACATAACCACGTGATCTTCTTGACCCATGAAATAATTTCTGGTCAAAGATGGACGCTTTTGCACAATAATCCCTCAATTGACTGCTATGTTGCTAATTTCTGGCCAAAGATGGACTCTTTTGCACAATAATCCCTCAATTGACCGCCATGGGCCTCTAAGTCTTCAATTAAAGCTAGCCAAATATGGACTCTTTCGCACAATAATCC